ACACACACACACACACACACACACACACGACCATCCAAACTTACATTTAGAAGTAGAACAATCGGTAACTCACAGAGACTCCGCACTCACTTTCGGATTCTCTGTGACGTGCTACCCCTTGGAAGAAGTCCTTTAGTGACAAAACGCGTCGGGCGGGCCTATTCTGACATCACAGCGTCACGGAAGTGAGTGCGGAGGCTCACGAGTTACCGATTGTTTTACTTCTAAATGTAAGTTTGGATGTTCGTTTTTTAATAAATGTGTTTGAGCATGCTTCACCATGGAGGAGTCCCTTTTGATTTTGTAATTTATGGGAAACACCATCCGACCAATACCTGGAGGATATACTAAAGAGAGATCTGATCCAAATGCCTGCTCCAGGCTGACTGCAAAAACTCATAAGGATTTGTATGCAGTGAGTGAGCACTACCTAAGGGGTGTTCCTGTGTGACATTTTAAAGATTTTTTACGCACTCATAGTGGGTGCATCAGCACGCTATTTAAGAAATTGGAGGATACCCATCAACCATCCAGAAACTTTTTAATCTACATTTATCACTATAATAATTTGGATTGGACTTTCTTATTTTTTGATTGATCATTATAATTCACAGTTTTTTGAGAGGTCTGTCTAATTAGACAGGGGTTGCATCACCTTAATCACTTTGCACAAAGTCACTGTATACTACAGTCTTTATCAACTATTTTCAAGTGTTGGTCTTTTCTTACTTTCTTTTTTTACTGTTATCACAGATTTGTATATTTATTCACAGTTTTAGTGAATAAGTTCTTCACCGTTAGCAATGTGCACTGATCACTGTTTACAAGAATCACCTGATTTATTTAGTTATCCACACGGAAAGGGTTTTTAGCGCCGCAAAATTCTCCTTTAAACTGCTAGGACTTTCCAGTCTGTTATTGTGGCTGCTTCATTCCCTTAATAGTGTATCCACAAGCGCAGATCCACTGTTTTCAACAATGTAGCATGCCTGTATAATATATATGTTGAAACTGCCCCTTATATAGACATATTTACCAAAGCTGATCATCTTCATGCAAGTAAGTTTGTGAACATTCACTTCAAGTATCCAATCATGTGGAGATGAAATAAGTAAGCAGGAACTTCAAATGATCATGGATAATTGAAGTACATATTCACATAATTTATTGTGTAAAAATTATTATGGAAGATCACCTCTCCTCCATGTGATAGTGCTCAGGTGTTGGGACAGGCTGGGTGCTGAACTGTGAAAGGCAGGTTGGAGTGTTAAACACATTTGCTTTATAGCCAAAAGTACCATTTTTACTAGAAGGCGAACTGCAGGATAACCAAACATTGTCTAAATACAAGAGGCTTGTGTATTCTTATTTGAACCTTGGTGTGCTTTGTTTATTTCCTGCAGATCTGTAATCCAGCATGAAACACTTTGCTCCTATGCAGGAGCTTCCTCTAAAGGTGCCCATACACTGCACGATTCTCGTACGAGAATCGCAGGAAATCCCGCGATCGTACGAGAATCGTAGGAAATCCAGCGATTGTACGAGAATCGTGCAGTGTATGGAAGGCGTGCAACCGTTTTTACTGTACGGTCGCACGTCTTTTGTCTAAGGAGCATGTTCGAAAACCAGCCGAAAATCTTACGATTTTCGGCTGGTTTGTGGCATGCTCGGGAGACAAATGCCGAATGGGCCGGTGTGCGCACACGCACACTGCCCGTTCAGCATTACGGTCATCGGAAGCCCGCCCCTCAGCGGGGCAGGCTTGCGATGATCGCAAGTACGATCTGCCTGTCCAAGATGGGCAGATCGTATGTTTTTTAATTACTTTACAGTGTATGGCCACCTTAAGAAAGACCAGTCACTGCTGTTCTCATTTCTCATGCAGGGTGACTAGTCTTGTCTGTGCCCCGTCCTGTAGTTTTCTGCAGACAGCCTGTAGTAGGTGGAACTGCTGGGTTCCTCCCACAGCTCTCTGCACAGGCTATGTACAGCATAATAATGATGTCACCACTACTATTACAAAATAATATCTGGGTTTGCAAAGGCATTTTGTGCACATAAAGTGGATTTATATCCCTAGTGGCTATGGAGGAATATATTTCATTGAAACTGTTAGCGCCCAGAGTTCAGCTTTAAGGTTCCAGCAGCAGAGAGAAGTTGTAAAAGGTAAGAAGAAGTGTCTTGGGATGCCTGCTTCAAAAGCACATGGCTTGGTAAAATAAACCTGTCCTAATAAAAGCTCTCAGGCTGGACTACCTGGCTCCCGAATAAAAAAATTAACATATGTTAATGCCACACAAATGAAAAATAATGTTAAAAAGATTCTGCTAAGCAGCAAAAAATACACTTTTTACAGTAATTACTCTCCTATTACTAAAGCAGTCTGTCATAGCGTAATGACCTCTTTCCCACAAGTGTGCAGGAATTTACAAATCAGTTTATAAAGTAATTCCCAAGGAAGTAGGGATGTTTTGTTACCATTACCATAAAGAATCTGGACAGCATAAATATTTGTGTTAGTCCTCTGTACAGTCTGTCTATGGTTACACTGAGTGATGTCATTTAGAAACGAATGCCAGGCACAGGCAGTAATTGTAATTGACCAGTTAATGGGAGGTTCTGATAGAGGAGTGGTAAATTCCTTGAAATATTACAAAGCACTCTAGTCATAGCATATTCTCCAAATATTATGATTCAGCAGAGCCATTTTGAATTTAAGTATTTGCAACACAGCTCTACAGTAGCAACAGTAACCTGTACAGTTGTATATTTACAATTCAATTATATATTTACATAACATAGTTTGTTAGGATTAAGCTAGAAATTGTTAAAACATACATACATACATACATACATACATACATACATACATATATATGATTGACAGTGTTGGGTTTTAGCAAGGAACAGCATTTGGTATTTGCAAGGCTCAGAGTTGGGTTTTAGCAAGGAATAGAGTTGGGTTTTAACAGGGGGCAGGCTTGGGTTCTGGCAAGGGGCAGTGTTGGGTTTCAGTGGGTCATAAGGTCATGGAACAAAGAAAAAAACACTGGCACTAACTCACAACCAACAGCTGATGTATTTGATCGTTTGGAAATTATGGGACATGATTTGATGAGACCAGGTGAGATGAGACCAGGGACATCCTTGCCAATAATTCATGAACACAGGGTAGTAAAAATCAGAAAATAAATTTTGCATCCTAACAGGAATAATACTATTAAATGTAAAAAGCCAAGTTTTTTTGTTTTTGGGTTTGTTTGTTTTTTTACACACACAAAAAAAAAAAAAACTGTTGCAATGAATGTATAATTGACTGTGCCTATGAATAGCTCTATAAATAATGCTGCTCTCAATGTACTAATTAGAAGCACATACAAATAAGCCAAGGGTATATTTAGCAGGAAAGCAATGTAGAGTGAATGCATGTTTTCTATACCAATGACAGCATGTAAACACACTAAGCACTATAATCTCCATTAATCAGAGGCAGCTTATCAATATAAGCAGCACTAAACACTTCCTTACCTATTGTGGAGATATGAGAAGGATGGAATTCGTTGTCTGTGAATCTGCACAGCAAACATGTTTTGCCAACTCCGGAGTCCCCAATCAGCAGTAGTCTGAATAAAACATCATATTGTTTGGCCATTGTGTCTGCTCGCTGGCTGATCACACAGTGTGTAGCAGAGAAGGGAGGAGGCTGTAGATCAGACAAGTCAGGAAGCACCCATTTCTTCATCCATACCTGATAGGGGGAAATGGATTATCCTGGATGAGTCGGCTTGGATGTTAATAACCAGCAGGAGAAGATTTCTGTTGATTTTTTTTCCCTTTCAGGATTCCAGAGCTTGTGTGAAATGACCAGATGGTAGATATCTTATCAGAATAGTCATGGAGGAGGAGAGACACAAGCTCCACCTTATGCAGTAGACTTCACTGGAAGAGGCTGATCGGAGTGCTTACAACTCGCTCCTAGGTGGTAATAGTAAACCCTGAAATTGCTGGGTGTGGAGGTAGCAGGCAGGCAAGTGCAGGGGACAACAGGCTAATGTCACCTGTACTCAGCCCCTGCAGGTCACTGACAGTTCTCTGCCTGCTTCCACTCCACACATTCCGAGCACTTACATCACTGCACTGATGGATGACTGTGGGAAACCTGTTCCTCTTGTTTTCCTGGGTTAAAAAAATTAGCTAAACCTGCAGAAATGTGATAAGCAGTCAGTGAACGAATGCAGGGAACGATGCAGGGAACGAATGCAATCTATTCTTAAAACATAAGATACCAATCTTATCACATGTGTAGGTGCATTATACAATGTGCATTCTTTATTACATCTGTCAATACAAACACCACCTCTAATTGATGATGTGCTGTATGTATTAGTATTTTGACGATTTTTTCATTTGAATGTCTTTCAATTCATCCAGACTGATTCCCAAATTTTGAGATCCATAGCATTAGCGGTAGGGGCAAAGGAACAAGTTTGCTTTAACCCCTTCATGGCTTAGCTTTTTTTTAGTTTCTGTTCATTAATGAGTAACACACTTTTTACATTTTTGCTATGTGATTCTTCCACGGCAGAAATATACTTTTCTTACTAAGTTTACCCATGCATATTATTTATTTGTCCTTCATTTGGAAACACATCACATCTGCCAAGGAGAGAAACACTGATTTTCTTTTTTTTTATACGCAAAACCCTAACCCCATGGAAGTAACGCAGTGCAGAGATCAGGAATGCACAGAGTGCAGAGGTCAGACTCCCGATGTACGGCTGAAATCAGCCGTACCAGCCTGAAGTGAATAGCCGAACAGCGTTCGCTCACTTCGCTTTAGGTCGATCATTCACTTGGCTGCCTACTGAAACTTAGTGAATAGACCCCTAAGTGTCATATTTAGTGATAGCGACATACTGTGAACATCGCTGTGATGAGGGGGTTAAATAAATTCATTCACTTAGGGTGAAAAACAAATCTGCAGCTCAGCTCATTATAAGGGGTTAATTTTTAATATATATTGATGGTATAAAATATATTTATATATAATTTTTATTTCTTTTTTTACACTTTATTATTTTATTTTTTTACACTTTACACTTTAAAAAAAAAAAATTACACTTTTATTTATTTTTAATTATATCAAGCAATCATTGGGAATTAATCTATGACTGCTTGATAATTTAATTAAATAGTTTTTGGTTATTTTTAGGCTGCTCCAAACTTAGGTACAGCCAATAATAACCTTAGCGACACTGATCCTTACATGCTGATCCTGCAGCATTTCAGTATCAGATGTCAATAAAGGCTTCTGATCATTCTCAGAATGATCAGAAGGCTGATACAATGTTTTAACATAGAAACATGTAGCTAAATGTTTCTATGCAGAAACATTGTAGCAAAATCTGTACCAGCCGTCAAACAGTGACAGCAAGTGCGGTAAAAACAGCACGCTATCACTGTCAGATACCTGATTCCTAAAAGGGATCGGGTGTCTGAAAAAGCTTAACTCTTTCATTAATGGATGCCGCAATACTGGTGTTTAATCACCACTGCGGTTTTATTTTTTGCTATATAACGAAAAAAGTACCGAAAATTAAGAAAAAAAACGTTTCCCTATATTATGTTAGGAAACATTTACTATTACCCAATTTTTTGGTAAAATATAAAAGACGGGGTCACATCGGGTAAATAGACACCAAACATGTGAAGCTTTAAGATTGTGCGCGCCCGCGAAATCACAAAAAACAACCATACCCAAAAGTGGCCATAGGCGACACTTTAAAAGATTTTACCGCTCATCAGTTTAGTGTTATCAGCGATTGATGGCCCTAGAACTATTGCTCTCACTGCAACATTCGCGGTGATATGTAACAAGTGCTGTGTAATTGGCGCAATTGTCATTTTTGTGTGTACCTAACGCATTTTTGCGCATCTATGTGGGGGAGGGACTTTAAAAAAAATTTGTGGGGGTTTTTTTTGTGTGTGTGTGAATTTTATTTATTTTGTGACCAATTTTTTTTTTTTTGCAGCATACAAGTGATCGGGTGTCTTTACAGACGCTGGACCGCTTGTATGTAAACGGCCATCACTGGCTGTTTAAAATTCTGGAGGTTTCCTGCTGTGAGCAGGCACGAAGGACATTTAAAGACGGCCACCCGCATCCAAAGGACTCCCGTCCGGCCGGGAGGTGGTTAAGTATGACACCCCCCTTGCTAAAACACAGAATAAAACCTAAAGTAGTATTAAAGTGGCACTAAACTAAGGAGTTAAATCTTAAAAATGCATTAAAGTACCTCAACTACCGTGTTTCCCCGAAAATAAGACACTTTCTTATATTTTTTTTTCCCCAAAAAAAAACACACTAGGTCTTATTTTCGGGGGATGTCTTATTTTAAATACTGTCACACACAGTGTCACAATACCTGCAGGCTGCAGCTGTCCTGGAGCTCTCTGATGCCGTCCACAGTTCTCTGTGGGATCCCCGCGAGGGAGCCATCTCTCTCGTCGCCAGGCTGGACTGCATGGATCTCCAGTCAGAAGTTCCCACAGTGACTGAGGCTCAGTCACCTTACCCCGACCCCACTGGCCATACTTCCTTGCCGTGCTGTGCCGCAGCCTGCTGGGAAATGTAATTTTCTGCCTGGCGGCAGCTCTCTAAGCATAGGCAGATGGGTGTCTGCTTATTTCGTGACACGGGAGCTGCGGTGCATCGGTTAGTCCCCGCCATGACTCTGGTTGCTCTCTGGGCCGCCACCACCCCCATCCCTAAACTAGGTCTTATTTTGGGGGTAGGTCTTATATTACAGGAATGTTTAAAAATAGCAGACACGGCTCTCTAATCAGGGATTGTAGAGGGCCGCCCACGGGGGCCTCGCGAGGACCCACTTGAGGAACGAGGGGCCGGCGATTACAGAGCCGCATCTGATGCGGGCGGACTGAATGGCCGGCCGGTGCAGGTGGCAGAGAGGTGGCAGAGGGATGGAGCAGTTGCGCCAACAACAGACCCCCCACCACCAGGGTCCAGGGAGCCCCACTGACCACCAGATGGTCCCCACTAACCACCAGGGTAAGGAGACATTTTTAAAATAAAATACGGGGACATTTTTTTTTAATACTCCCCTGATCCGCAGCGTCCCGCCTCTCACGCTGTCAAAACATGCATACAGAGTGTGTCAGTTACTATTTAAACCGTCGCGCCATGTGCAGCTTCTGAGAAGATATGCTATTAGCACAGCGGAAGCGATGCAAAATGCGCAGCCGGCTTCACCGCTACGCTAATAGCGTATCTTCTCAGAAGCTGCACACAGCGCGCCGGTTTAAATAGTAACCGACACGCTCTGTATGCATATTCTGGCAACATGAGAGACGGGAGTCTGTGCTTGTCGGTGGTTCCAGGGATCAGGTGAGTATTAACCACTTCAGGGCCGCAATAGGTCAATAGACAGCAGCCCGCATAAGTGGTTAAAACAAGAACGTGGTACCAAGAGCCGTGCTCTTGGTAGCGCTTTTAACAGCAGGCGATTGCTGTTAACTTACAAGCGATCTGGTGTCTGTACAGCCGCAGGATCATTTGTACCTGGCGGCGCCCCACCCCCCCCCTGCCGCGGCCGCTGTTGGCTTCCCCGGGCACCGGTATCCGCGTGCGGCTCGGTAGGACTCCCCGCAATGATCAGTGAGAGACTCAGCGGCTTCCAGCCGCTTATCTCTCCTCAGATCACTGGACCCGGAAGTGATGTGTATTACATCATTTTCAGTGTCACTGTACACAGTCTCCGGCTCTTAGAGCCAGGACAAGAAGCTGGGAAGCAGATCGCTTCCTCTGCTTCTTTAGGGTCCCTAGGTGACATTAGGTGTCTAAAAGACCCTATGGCACTTCCGGTCCCAAGGTGTCTGCATGCGGGTGCACGCGTCCATAGACTTACCTTGTGTCTCTCCTCGTCTCCCGGACGAAAATCTGAACTGCGTATGCGCCCGCCCCAAGATGCTTTGCGGCCGCAATAATTCTAGAGCCATCAATCACTGATAACACTAAACTGATGAGCAGTAAAATCGTTTAAAAAGTTCCCTATGCGAAATTTTGGGTATTTACTTTTTTTGTGGCTTCGCGGGTGAACGCAATTTTAAGGATTTACATGTTTGGTATCAATTTACCCTACCTGACCCCGTCTTTTATATTTTACTAAAAAATTGGGTATTATATTATGTTTCTGTGTACTAAATTTTAGTTCAGTTTATTTTTTCCTAAAAATACTGGTTTGATAAACATTTGCGCAAAAACCGTGCAACAAAGATATGATCTATTCGCGCATACGTAGAGTGAGCATGGGAAAAGTGAGTGTAGTCCCAGTAGAGGGGTTACATTCACGCCACACATCTACTAAGTGGTGTGAGTGAAGGAGCCTTGCCAATCTCAGTCCATTCTTAGGCGGATATTTTAATCTGGTGCCCGAGGGATGGGATTTATCAATTTTAATGTCCAAATCCATATTAGAGTCTCCAGCGATTACCCCTGTTCCCTCTATATATGGGGAGAGAGTAGAAAGGAGATGCCTGAAGAAAGGGATTTGGGCAACATTAGTGGCGTAATAGGAAATAAACGTGTACAAATGCTCCCCGATAGTGCCTTTCAGCAATAAACAACGTCCTCCAGGATCTTTAACTTCTAACTGTAACTGGAACAAAATATGCCTAGCGAACAAGATAGCCACCCCTTTGGATTTATCTGCCGCACTGGCAAAGTAGTACTGAGTATAATATTTATGTAAAAAGGATGGGTTGTAACTGTTAGGGAAATGCGTTTCCTGAAGAAATATCACGTCTATTTTTTGAGAGTGATAATGATTAAAGGCTACTCGCCGCTTAACTGGCGAGTTCAGGCCTTGAGCATTATGTGTAGCTATACGTATATCAGATCTACAGGAAGCCAATAAATCCAAGTGGCTGTACTGATTCTTTCCAATCCCCCGATTCATACTTACTCTCCCACATAGATCGATAAAAGCCCCTAGTCGCTATTCTTTTACGACTCCTCTGGGGAGAAGAACTAGAGCACTTGGGTATCCCGCCCCACCCC